ACTTCTTCGGATGCATATAGAATGGAACATATATTGTTCAATATATGTTCCATTCTATATGCATCCGAAGAAGTGGGCTGTAGTCCACGAAAGCTTATGCTCTAATAAATTTGTTAGTCTCTAAGGTGCCACAAGTACTCCTGTTCTTCTTTTTACTTATGTCCTTGTAGGCACCCCACAACCTAACAGGCACAGACACTGTAATGCACAGACACATCGCTAGAAGTGCTCCTGCCAGGTCAAAGTCGAGGCACATTGACAAAGTAATTTCGGGAAGCTTGCATTCACTGTGCTGGTATTGGCATTTCTATTGTACAACACATTTTTCAGCTGTTTGTTACCATTCATTTTTTTAAAACAGCCAGCAGGTAGAAATTTGGCTTACAAGTTCTCAGCAGGGTATCTCATTTTGCTTTCTGATTTTTTGAGTCAGACATGTTTATATAAGGAAATACTATAAAACAGAGTATTATTATTTTATAATAAAAATATGGTGTATTTATGCAACCCATAAATACTGCAAATATATTTTAACTGCCGTCAGCTTTATTTTTTAGATCTGAATTAAGTTCTTCTTGCCCAGGGTGGGTTAGGGAAACATTTAATTGGCACTTAATGGCCCATCATGAGAGAAGCTTGAAATATAGCGGGTGAGGCAATATTGTATTTTATAGTAAATAGCATGGGGCCGTGCTAGGATGCTTACCTGGTTCTAGTATATTGACTCTAAAAATCTGTATAACTTAACTCAGAAATAGTTTCAGTTTTTTTCACTTTTCAGGGAAGTAATGTAGAATTTGCCTGGTGTCAGTGGATACTTTGAGATGTAAGGTGGAGGGGGAAGGGTGTGTGACAGCTGAATCACTCGATTTCTTTTATGTAGTCAAAGGGTTTGTTGTGTACGCACATGGTGACTTTCATTAGTATTATTATTTAAATGTGTATTGCAGTAGCACCCGAAGGGTATGTCTACACTGCCAAAAAAAACCACAGCAGTGAGTCTCAAAGCCCAGGTCAACTGACTCAGGCTCGCGGGGCTCATGCTACAGGGCTAAAAACAGCAGTGTAAATGTTCAGGCACAGGCTGGAGCCTGGGCTCTGAGACCTCCCCCCCTCACTCCAGAGGTGTCAGAGCCCGCACTCCAGCCTGAGCAGTAACATCTACATTGCTCTTTTTTAGCCCCATAGTGCAAGCCAGGCTCTGAGACTTGCTGCCACAAGAGTTGGGGTTTTTTGCAGTGTAGATGTACCCAAAGTTCCCAGTCAAATGTAACGTTAATTGCACATGAGTTTTGTGTTGTGTTTGTTTTGGTTTTCTTAATATATTAATGGGCTCAGTGATTTTTAAAAGCTTTTAGAACTTCATTACTATATGGGCATAAACCAAATACAGTTGGGAAAGTTGAGGACCAAGGATAGCATCATTAGGACTAATGAAACAAGCTGTGCAAAGGTCCTGATGTTTCAGGAGCAGGAATTATTTCCAGATACTGGCAAGATGCAATACAAATGTGAATGAAGCAAACCGAAGCAAGGCATCCTTCAAGCAAGAGTGAGCTGCATCCATCAAAATGATGTGATTCCTAGGATTTGGGGCCAACTCTGACCCACTGTCCCTTCCCAGAAATCAGAACTGATTAACCCTGGCTGCCTCCTTCTGTTGTTTCTCCTAGCAGCAGTGTACACATTTTTGTCATTTAGTCATTGAGCACATGCAGACAGGCCAGGCGCTAGGAAGAGTTTACATGACAGATTGTAACCAGCTAGGAAAAAAAAACCCAGGCAATGCAAAGTTAAGGCTAAGTTAAGATTTTTTTTCTAAATATTCTAGAGTTCTGTGTTTTTCCTTGTGGTGAATCTTTGTTTACAACAATTACATTAAAGGATTTGATCCTGCGAGCCCCCCTCAGGTGGATCTCCCACTGAAGTCAATAGGGGGGCTTGGCAAATCAGATCCATAGCTTATACATGGACTTGTATAGTCTCATCTAGCAGATTTCTAAAACTCAATTAGTTGGGAAAATGTTCTAATATCTCATGCAGTGAAAATGTCCGTCTGGTATTAACGCTAAAAGGGTATCTATAGGTTTACTTAAAAGGTACACTGTGCATGTATTCCATCACCAGCTTTGTATAATATCTTCAGTTAATTGGGCCATATATAACTGCTCATTCTCATTGGAATAGAGCTCTTCACAGAATTCTCTCTCTCTCCTTGTAATTATAGTAAGAATGTAGCCACTTAACAAGGTGAAAGAGTGCTGGCGGTGCAAATGCTCTCCATCCCTCATTGAGATCTCAGTACAAGTGCAGCTGCAGATGAAATGGGTGGCCTTGCAGAGTTACCTAATCTAGACATACACACTAAGCATGGGCATACCTTTTCCTTGAAATAAATGGTTCAGAGGAAGACATCTGCAGAATACCAGCTATGAAAGTGCAGAGTGGAAGCAAAGAACTTCAATGTCCTTTCATACTGTGCTTCGCAGACTGCTTTACCTATGTCATTTCTTCAAGAGCTGAAGTATATTGAAGTATATTCCACTCTTAGTGATCATGTTTGAATGATGTGTAAAACCAAGGTTCTAACACTTGTTAAACTTTCTGTTGCTATTTTCACAAGATATGAGGAGTTAACCACAGTGTTCTGTTCAAATTCTATTTTTGGTAATTGCTTTCTTCTTAACTAAAGTTCCCTCTATATTTAAAAAAGGATACAGGATTCTTTCCATAGAGTATTTCTCTCATCTTATCTTATAGGTTGTGTAAGGTTGCTGTGCACTGTTAACTGGCTGCCACATTTTTGGTAGATGAAATTATGAAGTTCTCCTGATATAGTGTTTATGTATCAGTTGAGTTAGTAAAGTAATCCTTCAGGGTGAAAGTTGCTATATAAATATTTGTATTGTGGTACTGATTATGTGATGAAGTTATGTCATTTTATGAACGGGGTACCCTCTGACCTATTATTTAAATTAAAGGTCCTCCTTTGCCTAGATGATTTCCATTCATGTTGCTTTAGGCCTTGGACTAAATTCATAGTTCTAGAAAAGATGGGGGATAGTACAACACTGAATATACCAATCTCAGAGGATGCTCAGGAAGGCTGACATATTGAAATGCATAGTGTGTAAGCAGAGTAGAAGACTCATTTTAAAATAACTCTTTTCTCCTTGATGATTGCTGCTTCCCTAGTACATTGCTTGATATATCTAATATGTCTTTATATTAAATCTGCCAGCTAATTCTGGTTCCCTACAAGGTCCACAGACTCCCCAGTCTACTGGTAGTAATTCCATGACAGAAGTGCCGGGCGACTTGAAGCCTCCAACACCAGCATCAACACCTCATGGACAGATGACGCCCATGCAGGGCGGCAGGTATTGAAAACTCAGTGCTTCATTTCACCTTTCTTACCCTTGCTACATAGAGTAGAACAGTGTGCCATCAGGGTGTCACTTGTATAAAGAAAAGCAGATTTAGGCTTTTTGTATGTTTGTTCTTTCCATCGTTGCATGGTCATTTTGTTGCAGCAATTATGGTTATCAGCCTTCTATTCCTGTAATAACGTACATTTGGAAAAAACAGAATTCCTGAATTGATAATCAATGCTTCAGTTGTCAGTGATACTTAACCTTAAAATTTGAGAACATGGGGATTTTTCTGAGTTGAAAGTGGGATCATGATCATCTTTATAATGGTCCTTTCCATCATAAACCATGTACATGTGCAGAGCAAGGACTAAAACCCTGCTCCTTCACTTCTAACCATACAGTCTCTTGCCCCTGAGCTAAAGGGAGAGTTCTGTTAGTTATCAACTAGCTGGTAACTGCAGGAGGACCGTTCTGTTCTATAGAGAAGGACCCTCGTGTTTTTATTAAGCAGCAGTCAGCCAGCCAAGGGTAATGTTCTTGTGCAGACACAGCGCCTTATCCTTCTGCCACTAAAGTCTATGATAAAAAACTCTCAGCAGCGTCAGTGGGAGCAGGATTGAGATCTAGACTATCCACAACAAAATCATTCACAACTTTGCTTAATTATAGTCTCTTGTCTTCAGCTGTAATCGGTGCACAAGTTTTCAAAGAGATCTGACTATGTGGAGAGATAGAAGGGGTAGTAGCAAACCTTTTTTAATGACCTCTCATTCAAACAGTTCGATTAATTTTTTTCCCATTTGTAAAAACATTCTCATTTGCCTTCAGAATAAATGTGGCAGTTCTCAGAGCAACTCAGTTTTTCAAGCCATGTTTATAAGGGCTTTATAATAAAGCTAGCTGAAGCCACAAAGGTTGTTGCTGGTCCATAATATTTAATGGTATTGAGAAGGTAAATCAAGTGCTGCTGTTCATTCTTTGTCATAATACCAGAACAAGGAGACACCGAGTGAAATTGAAAGATAACTCTATTTAAGACTGATAGAAGGAAATACCTTTTTGACACAATATGTAATTAACATGTGAAACTCATTGCCTCAGGGTATTGAGGCAAACAGTTGATCTGGATTCCAAAAAGGTGAGGACTTTTATGTGACTAATGGCAATATGCACATTCACATTAGATTGGATAAAAAAATCCCTCATGCTTAAGGAAAAAGCAGGGGTAGGAAGAAACTTTTCCTGTGGGCAGGTTATGCCATAATTGTCTATTATGGCATTTCTTACACCTTTCTCTGAGGCATCTGGCGCTGGCTACTAGCGAAGACTGGATACTACACTAGAAGGACCATAGTCTGGTCTGGTATCACAATTTCTTGCATGTGTTCCTATGACATTAATGCCTCCATTTTGTCTGTCCATTTAGAAACAGTGCAGTTAGTGTGCACGATCCCTTTTCTGATGTAAGTGATTCTGCATTCCCGAAGCGAAACTCCATGACGCCAAATGCACCATACCAGCAAGGGATGAACATGCCAGATATGATGGGAAGGATGCCCTATGAACCGAATAAGGACCCTTTTGGTGGGATAAGAAAAGGTATCTACTAAGTGGCAGTCTCAGTGTGTTCTTCCCTAGTTTCATCCAAGCAACGTATTTTGATTTGTCAAGGTGTGCTTTTTGTGGCTCTTTTTGCATGCTCTCCCCGTCTCTTTGCATCATTGCCATCAGCAACATCATATCTCCACAGCAATAAAGGAAGTGTAACCACATCTCAGTCTTCTCTGGTCATTTTTCCCCCTCTCAAAGTTAAATTATGTAAGTGTAGGCTTCGGGCTTCAACGGGATCCCAAAATAATTGTTCAGGACTATTACACAGTACTGTTTGTGACTGGACTATACCGCTAAGGATCAGCAGGTTAAATTAGTTGGGCCTGGGGTTTTTTAATGCTCTAGTAGCATCTTTGAATATAGTAAACTATATTACAGCTTGGGATAGCATTTCTAATTGTTAGAGTAGGAAACTGGGAGTCAGAACTCGTAGGTGCTATCATGGTTCAACTGCAAATTCACTGTGCAGTTTTAAGCAAATCTCCTAACCTCTTTACCTCAGGTTATGCAGCTGTAAAATAGGTATACTTAACTATGTAGCACACAGAAGTGTTACAAGGTGTAATTAATTAATGTTTGTTAGACATTTTGAGATCCTGTGGTGAAAGGTGCCACATAATTCGAAGTTTAGTGTTTTAGAAAGTTAAAAATGAGAATAACACTAAAGCTAACTCAGTCCCCGGGTGCACTTCACTCAGGGTCTTTCTGTGAATTTTAAAGTATCTTAGGAAAGAATAATTTGAACTATTCTCCTACATGTTTGTGTATAGGAAAGGGGGAGGGTAGGAAGAGGTTCAGAGTTCATAAGAGCAGAAGAGAGAAGAGCAGATGATGGAGGTTTAAGAGTATGCAGTGGCAGCTGAAAGATGAGGTAACGGAGAGGAAAAGGACAAAGAACAGGGAGAGGAGAAGAAGTGGTGATGTACTGGCGTCACTAGTTTAAAAAAAGAGAGAGAAAGTGATGCTGATGAGACCATTTGGAACAGCAGCTGGGTAGAGGCCTTATGTTTCTTTTAAATCCCATGCCTTTTGCCCTGGACCCTGGTACAGCAGAACTTCAGGGGAAATAACATCCTTTCCGGCTTAAACTTATTTTGATTTCCACGGTCATCTTGAGATCACGTTGGTTTACTGCACATACCCATTTATTTCACATTTAGATTAGGTCACAAGTTAAAATTAGTTTTGTCAAATCAGCTCAGGCTTCTTGGAAAGATGATCACGTGTGAGTCAGATCTGTTCCCTCACTCAGCTCATTCTGCTGATGGTGTCTCTGCATTTATAAAAGAGTTTGGCAAGGTGGTGATTGCATACAAAACCTGGGGAACAATTCCAGGGCTTCCTGTAGCATTTTTAAATACCCTCTTATCATGCATATACCCAATCTCTAGCTCCTGGAATTAATAGAACTGCTTCTTTGATTCTTTATTATAAGGGTGCTAGTTCTCTCACCTACTATTCTTTCCATTGCTTTAGTTACAAATCTGGCCTGCTCTAAGGCAGTAAGTGACAGAAAGTGGAAAGCTTGGTTCTTGGAGAAGTCCTATTCTTCCTTTGCCTCCTTACCTTCACCCTCACCTCTGTTTTTTTATGTCAGATGTCTCAAACTAGAGAGTTGAGATGGGGCTACTTCCCTGAATCCTTTGTTACTAAATGATGTCATGGCTGGTGCTGACCAAGTCTCTTCTTGGACCCTTAGAATTGTACCTACCTTGCCCAGGGGGATACCTCCAGGATACAGGATCCTCTACACAGATATCAACCCCATTTTGGGAAAGGGAAAGAAAACAGCCCTGTGGCTACTGGGTGCTAATTAAAGCCATGAGGCTAGTGCATAAGCCTTTCTGATATCTAGAGATTTGAGTTTGAGTCAACATTGTTGGGCTAAGAAGAGCAAGTGTGAACAGAGTCCAACTTGAGTCTTTAGGACACTGAGGAAGAAGAAAGCTTTCTACCTGATGGGTTTAATTCTCTAACATGAGATTCCAAATCTGATTTTTTTCATTTGAAGTTATTTGATATTCTGACCACCTTGCTGTTCCATCTTATTGATAGTGCTGATTTATTTGCTTTCATCACTCTCCTAGAGCTTGTCAGACACCTAGTAATTCTGCGTGGCTTCTGTTAGGGCTTCAGGAGTTTTTTCAAATGATGTCATTTAACAGACCTTGGAAGCTCATCTTTGAAACCAAAAATAAGATGTTTAATTTGCAGTTCTTCCATTTTTACTTATTATTGCAGTGCCTGGAAGCAGTGAGCCCTTCATGGCCCCTGGACAAATGCCCAATAGTGGAATACAGGATATCTATAACCAGACTCCATCTGGAGCAATGTCCACCATAAGCATGAGCCAGCGGCAGCAGTTCTCTTATGGAGGTGGCTATGACAGGAGGTGAGTCAATCTTCAGCAAAGTTAGTGAAAATGATCCTGTCGTCTTCTCCTTTGCCCCATTGTCCTTTACAGAGAACCTAGCAGCCGTCACTTCCTGCAGCTGCTTACTAAATCACTGGGAGTAAAGCCACGGGTAATGAGAGAGTCCAGCTTTTTGCCGAAATTAATAGGGAAAGAGTTGTCACACTTCAGAAGTCACTCAACCTACAGCTGATCAGCAAGTGGGTCTGCTTGACAGCTGCTTTTTGCACGCTGTTGTGTTGTGCTGTGACTTGCTGAAATAGCACTTGTGTTAGTCCTCTTGCCCTGTTCATACCTAAACGGAAGATGTTGATTTTTTTTATATAAAAAACAAAATATACATCTTAAAAATGTTTTCTTTGGTCTGCTGGTGACTAGAACTTCATTTGGAGCTTTCAGGGTCTATACTGTGCTGTAGGGATGCTGCACTTCAAGTGTGTGACCATAGTGATCCTCTGTACTGAGGTTCAGTGGCTGAAGGTTTAGATCCCCATAGGTCCAAATTTCAGTGAAGTAAAACCAATTTTTCCCCCCGTTTCCTTATCCTGGGAAAGTGTTGTTTTTTTAAATCCATAGAATCACTGATGTCTGATCATTGGGAGCAGGCAGAAAGGTTTGGGAGTGTTTGGATATACTGAGTTTTGCAGTATGTTTTGCAAGCTGGAACTGTAGAAACATTTTTTTCCCATTGTTACCTTCAATTAGTTGTACAGTTTTGCTTCATTGCTAACATTTCCTGATGGCAGCCAATGTAGTGCACAATATTGGCCTCCTAAGTTAATAGTAGGCCAGTTTTCACAATCCTAGGCTGAAGCAGTAGGGAAAGAATAACACAACTGTAATCATTTTGTTCAACAAAAGCCACGTTGCTGTGTTGTCAGCCAGATTAAAGGTCCCAGCAGAAGGTCTTAGGCCAGAAGAATCCTTTCCATTAAGTTTTATTGATTTGGTGATTTTGGAGAATAAGTGCTTTTTACAGAATGAGGTTTCCTTTGTCATTTTTAGGTCGGATCATGGGCTGGGTCCTGAAGGCAGTATGGGACCACCTGGTCAGAGCAACATGGTGCCTTCAAACAGTGACCCAAGCATGTACTCTCCTAATCGTTACCCTGGCCAGCAGAGGTGAACATTGATTTCTCTGTTTATAATATCTGCATTAACCAGATAATCCTAAATCCTAGCAGCTACTGATTGTGTGTAAACAGAATATTCAGCAGCTTGGTGTGTTATTTGTTTGTGTGTTCCTATAGAGATTTTTCCTTTGGGTTTGTTTTTGGGTTGGGAGAGCTATTTGATTTTGTGTTTCCATAGAGCTATAGATGTTAGAAAAGGAAATCACACAATTTGCTGCCAATACAGGATGTACACAACGTTATATTCTCAAATTGTCCATTCTTGTTTTAAATTATTCAAACTTTGAGGCTTATACAAACTCTGAGGCTCAGGTGGTGGCCATTCTATAGTCTAAGTAACACTAACACTTAAAGAGCATTTCCTGATATATAGCCTCCATTTTCCTTTGCCCAGTTTCATCTCATTACTCTGTTATATTATTTCAGACAACCCTAGACAATTCGTACCAGTTAAGTAGTTCTTTTGACATTGCTTAGATAACCTCTCTGTCTGACTTGATTTTCGGAGAAATTGAACACCTACTACACCCACAGAAATCAGTGAGAGCTGTGGACGTTCATCACCTTGAAAATCAGGCCATGTTAGTTCTTTTAATTCTTTCTAAGAAGTCAAATTCTCCAGCCCTTTCATCTTTTTTGCTCCTTTTTCCTGAATTGCCCTTGAACGTATTCTGGTGTCCAGAACTGTGCTCAAAATTCTAGGTGTGGTCTCTTTTGTATTGTATGCAAAGGGACTGCTAACATCTTGGTCTGTGACAGGATGGTTTTGTGTACACTACCCATACTGAAATTGATACTTGTTGTGTTACCGTATCACACTGCAAGCTCAAATCCAATTTGCTATCCACCATCAGCGCCAGGTATTTATCATCCTTACTGCTTTCCATGTACTTCCCTTCAAATGATTTTCTGTTTCATTTAAAAAAAGAAAATTAATTAAAAGTATGCCCAGTTAAGCACTCAAAAAATCAGGAAGTGCCACAGGTAAGTTTGTAAGTGCAACCTTAACTCTGTACTTTATGACACAGTATTTCATTAACTGCTATACTATTCCTCAAAAAAGAACAATATGTCCTCATTGAGGCCATATGTAAATTGAAAGTTTTAAAAAAATTACATCATCATCACGGGTAAGTGTTGGGATTTCACAGGGTCGGCACTGCTGCAATATTTCCAACAGTAGGGAGGCAGAAGTGGCCATCCCACCACATGGCACTAGCCATTGAGGCCTGTTTCACTCCACGCTCAATTCCAGCCCCAGCCACTGTGGCTGCTTCCTGACTGGCCAGCCAGCAGTTAGAAGCCCCGGCCTGGCCCACCCCACAGCAGTCACCAGCAGGAGTGGGAGCGGCTGGGTCAGAGCCCCCTTCAATGCCTCTGATTCCCTGCTGAGCAAGAAGCCCCCTTACCCTCTGCTCATGCTCCAAATAGTGGATCCTGGTCTCAGTTCCTATGGTGTCTCACCCAGGCCTGCCAGAGGCTGCTGTGGGGTGGGCCAGGGCTTCTAATCAGCACACATTGTCAGCACCACTGACAATCTCTCCATTGCTTGGCTGGACAGGATGCAGCAACGGCAGCCTGAGCCAGATGGCTGGCACCATGTGGTCACACCCACACACATGGTTTCCCTCAAGCAGCCGAATTAGCCCAGCCCTGTGATTTTTCCAATATCCCTTGGGCATTTCTGCTTCTGCCTCCCCACTATTGGAAAAATCACAGTATTGGGCTAATTTCACTATTTCCTTGCAGTCTGTGAAATCGTTATTTAAACAGGGCCTTAGTCGTCATACATTTATTTATTAAAAGTTCCAGCGCAGAAGTGTAGCACCTTGAAATATTTTTCATAGTTTGTTCATGAGTTTAAACTCATTTTGTGCTACTGTGCTCTAGTGAAAATCACAAATTCAGTTTAAACCAATTTTTAAAATATTTTTTATATTCAGTAGAGTCTTCAATGTTCCATAAAATGGGTTTCTTGATGAGACCCACTTTTTAAAACTCTTCAGAATTTGAACGCACCCTCTTTGCACTGTAGGTCAGATATTTTATTTACTAGAATATATATCCTGCTTCATTCTGTTACAACTATATTGCTTTATTATACTCTGTGTAGTAATTCCTTCTGGTACATCCTTGCGGCTGACTTCCACCAATAGTCTTAGTGCTGAATTAGTGCAATACTTGAGAGCTCCTGACTGTTGGAATTCAAGGAATTTAATCGGTTTTGTGAAGGTCGGGGGTTTGCTGAGACTCTTAATTTTCCTCTCATTGACATCTTTGTAGGGGGTCAAACAACTTTGGCAATATGCCCAAAAAGGTGTCACCATCCATTCTAAAAAATTAAATTATCATCACTGTGTTAAAAGTCTTGGTATGGAAATTAGGTGGTATGGAAAAGAGAATGTTTCATGGTGGTGGCCATCTTTAAGGTGTAGAATCCTCAGAGCAATTTCATTTGTCCAGTGGCTTGGAAGTTCCAACAGTACTAAGTGCTGATTTGAATGCATCATTCTAGGCATGAACCATATGGGCAGCAGTATCCAGGGCAAGGACCTCCTTCAGGACAACCACCGTATGGAGGACATCAACCTGGAATGTATCCACAGCAGCAGGTAAAAGAGGTGGAATCATTTATATTCATGACATTTATTTTGTAAACATCAACCCCCCCAAAATACACTTTATAATATGAAATTAAAACAAATTCTTAAAAGGCATGTAGTTTTCGCACAGGTGAGCAACATAGTGTGGGCCAAAATCAGGGCCCATTTTAGCAGCGGATGTGCAAGAACAAGGCCATGTACTAGTTATGTTGAAGGGTGTAATTTAAAGTTGAGATTCTGTAGGGTGACCAGACAGCAAATGTGAAAAATCGGGACAGGGGGTGGGGGATAATAGGAGCCTATATAAGAAAAAGACCCCAAAATCGGGACTGTCCCTATAAAATTGGGACATCTGGTCACCCAAAGATTCTGTGGTGTGGAATCCATGACAGGTGAAAGCCCCACGTACAGTAAGCAGGTAGATCAAAACAATGCGATTCATAGGCTGATAATATTGCACCACCCAGCTTGCAGAGACAAATAGGAAAGTTGCTGACTGGAAGAGCAGAAAGCACGTCAGGCAGGCAACTGAAACCAAGGAAGTCTGGCAGGAAGAGAAAGACCTAAGCGTCATAGTTGCTAAGACTGGCATAGAGTGTCACACAGATAATCCAAGACTATCATAAAACTTGCACGTGAGAGAACATGTACTTTGAATGTATAGCAGATGATATATTCCAATATATTACTAACACTGAAAAAATATTTAAAACATTCCAACATTTGAGCCTTTCTGTAATATATAAAATATACAGAATATGCTGGAAAATATGAGTACTGTTTCTAGACATAGGTTTTGTAAAATGTATTGGTAATATGTGTGCAAACCCTGGCCCCGTTAAAGTCATTGGCAGAAATCCCATTGACATCAATGGGGCTAGGATTCCACCTCTATGTATGATAAAGCGGTTGGTACTCACTCTGTAATTATGGCTGGTGCTAGGTTGCTAGAATAAGATATTCAAACATGCCAGGATTCCCCAAAAATAAATTTATCTTCCTGAAATTTCACATACCACATCTCAGTGTGGGGCAGAGGTTTTCTAGGAAGTTCAGTAAAACTCAGAAGTGAAGCTCTAAAGTTGCAGGGTTTTGGAAATGTATCTAAAATTCACTTTTGAAATGTTATACTTCTCTTTTTTCTCTCATACTATCTCCAAAATGTCATGGTCAAGAAATTCCACATTTGTTTTGTTGGTCTTGCTGAGGAGCAGCGTTTTTAGCAATTTGGGGTGATTTAGTGGAGAAATTACAAAGATCAATAACAAAAATAGCCTGTGATACCCCACACTACGGTATCCAGGGAATGAGTTAACGAGGTTCTCATTAAAGACGGGAACGCCCTAAACTTTGCAAAAATATATAGTCAAACTAACATTCTTAAGAAAATATAAAATCTCATTTCCTATTCTAGGTATCCATTTCCAGTAGTGTCTGAATAATGTATTATTTTGACCTTTTTGTATATTTCGTCACGTATTAGGGGACAAAGTTAAGGTTAGGCTGGTGGGGTGACGTAGGGTTGGGTGGGAGTTAATGGCTGAATTACCATAGTGGGACCCTCCTTTAGAGGTGCCATTGACATGCTGCCTTTTTGTCCTGCTATACCCCTTTATACATCTATATCCTCCCCCTGAGTATCTGACTGTCTGAGATCCCAATCCAGCAAACACATCCATGTTTAACTTTAAATCATGTCAGAAGTCCCTCTGAAGTGGGATTACTCGCATGTTTTAAATTAAGTATGTTCACAAGTGTTGCAGGATCAGGGTCTAAATGGATTTATGCATAACCATTGAATCTGAAATTGTGGTTCAACTTAGACAATTTTTACATGATGCCTGTTTTTCTGTGTCTTGCATTAGAGTTCATGTCACAGACCCAGTATATTACATAGATGTGTAAGACCTAAAGCTGGCCATGGACCCTTTGTTTCTGAAATAACTTGACAACTCAGTGGCAAATTAAAACATTCATGCAATTCAGTGGTTAGGACTTTACATGCACCAAAGTCAGAAAATGAGAGTTAATGGTTCCCAGAGCAATTCTAACTGACCCATGTTGCATGCATATAGAATTTTATATGATGTTAACTTTAGTACATTAGTATACATTGTGCAATGTGACTGAGTTAAGGTTTCTGTGGGAGCCATAACTTTGAGCTTACCATAGATCATATATTCAAAAAACTGCACATTTAATTCACATTTTTTGCCTCATGGCATTCAGTGTAGCTCGAACTGTGAAGCAAGCTCCCCCAGGAACTAAAGACCATTACAAACCTCTCCACCTTCCACTCAAAGTGCAAGGTGCAGTTCTTCGCCCTGCCTTCTCTAACATAAACACAGAGCAGCATGTACTTTTTAAAACAAAATATCAACCCCTATCAAAACAAAACACCACATTGTGCCCACAGTTCTCCCCCTTCAGAGGGAGGATGCTCAGAGACATAAAGAACCACACATGACAGATGTTAGTCATGTCACTTATCTGAACACCTTCCAGGAGTATTTTACTACAGTGATGAGCACCATATAAGCACCTATCTAGAATAAAATAGAATGTTTGAATTTAACTGCTGGAATAATCAGACATGAAATGTGAATAGGGGATTCAGGGAGAGGGATTCATCTTCTTGGCAGGGATGAGTGGAGGTTTTGGAACACCAGACATAACTGAGATGGGTGTTTCTCCCACCAGTCAGCCTGACTTATACTCTGTTTCAAACTCCAGTGTCCTGGATACATACTTGCAGAAGCATCGTGCTTTGGGATGTTAGAAGGCTTTCAAAACTTGTCCTCCAAGAAGACTAAGTCTGTGACAAATCTGAAACTTTAAAAAGATTTTTTTTGGTAGTTTGAGCATAAAAAAACTGAAAAAATACCTTAGCTGGTGAAGATCATTTCTTGTTCATGCCTAGATGTGTCCTAAGTGAGCAATAGAATTTTATCAAACTTGCAAAAAATTCACCCTTGGATTGAGAGCTAACATGAGAAATTTTAGCCAGAGGTAATTTTTTTAAAATATAAGTTTATAAGCACATCAAAGTAGGGTCTTAAAATGCAATAAGCTGGCTCAACCATAACCATAGCATTGCTAGCTTGACTCTATAAGCAGCATTCTGTGCAGTCCTAAGAATTTTTGATTTTTAAAATGAGCTTTCTGCCAGTTCATATATGTTTTGTATGATAGGAAAAGAAACAAACCTTTTGTTCAAAAAATAATTATAAAATTACTATTTTACCACCTCCTGTGTAACGTGCTCATTCTGAAATGCTGCCGTTATATTAGTGTCATGGAATCTAAGGATGCCAGTAATTTTTTTTAATTACATATTAAATATCACTCCTGACTGTCAATATGATTGAGCTTTTTTCTCCAAAACATTCTTTTTCAGAACTATAAGCGTCATATGGATGGCATGTATGGGCCTCCAGCAAAACGCCATGAAGGGGATATGTATAACATGCAGTATGGCAATCAGCAGCAAGAAATGTATAACCAGTACAGCAACACTTACTCTGGATCAGACAGGAGGCCTATCCAGGGACAGTATCCATATCCTTATAACAGGGAGAGGATGCAGGGCCCCGGACAAATCCAGCAGCATGGAATACCCCCACAGATGATTGGTGGCCCCATGCAATCATCATCCACCAGTGAAGGTCCTCAGCAGAATATGTGGCCAACACGAAATGATATGCCTTACCCTTACCAGAACAGGCAAGGCCCTGGAGGCCCTGCACAGGCCCCACCCTATCCAGGGATGAACCGCACTGATGATATGATGGTACCTGACCAGAGAATAAACCATGAGAGTCAGTGGCCTTCTCATGTCAACCAACGTCAGCCTTCTTACATGTCATCCTCAGCCTCCATGCAGCCTATCACTCGACCTCCTCAGTCGTCCTACCAGACACCACCCTCAATGCCAAACCACATCTCTAGGGCTCCAAGTCCAGCATCCTTCCAGCGCTCTTTAGAGAACCGTATGTCTCCAAGCAAGTCTCCTTTCCTACCCTCTATGAAGATGCAGAAGGTTATACCCACAGTTCCAGTGTCACAAGTCACAGGACCTCCATCCCAGCCACCACCAATTAGGCGAGAAATTACTTTCCCTCCAGGCTCCGTAGAAGCATCGCAACCAGTCTTAAAACCAAGACGAAAGATTACCTCAAAAGATATTGGTGAGCATCAAACAAAGGTCTAAATACAGAAATAGTCATAAAGAATCTGTTTTGATTTTCAGTTTTGATTTTCTTTTTCCACTTTGAGTTTATGACCTTGCTTAGAAAGTTAACTCAGCTAAATGTAAAGTGATTGTGTCTGTTAAAACATAATAGCACCAAAAAAATAGTACAGCATGGGTGGTCATCCCACAGGTCAAATACAGCTCAGGAAATGCTACATTGGACATCAGCAGCTGGGAACAAAAGGAGCATGGAATGTTGAGCCCTGTAGTCTCCACAGGTCTCTCTTTGTGTTAAGGCAGTTTAGACTCTCAAATTCCATGTGTTAGCTGCTACCCTACAGCACCTATGGAATGGTCAGTACAACCATCAGTTGGGCAAAGTTTGTTCTTGTGGCACAGAAAGCATACCAAAGCATAGTGTTGTTGCACTGTTTATTGACATTCACACACCTTCATTAAATGGCCTTTTGTTTTTTAATGCCAAGCCTTATATCCAGCCAGGATAAGAATTTCCCCTGCAACTCTGATGGCAAGGCTTTGTGTTATTGGTGGAGATGGGTTTTCTGTGGCTAAGGGGCGAATGCACTTGAAGTTATCTCCTAGGTATCACATAGGAATGTGCTGTTAGAGGTGATATTTTGGGGGAAGGTGGAAACATGTTAGTGTGAAATCATACTGGTAAGATTCAAGAGGCCATTCTGACTTGGCATACTGTGTAATCGTCTGTCCAAAGTGCAGGGATGTTAGTGTAAGATCCTCAGTGACTTGAGTCATGCACTATATATTTATCACAGTTGGGACTTCTTTAACATTTGGATAGACCCGGGTTGCATCTCATAGACGAGCATGGAAAATATTCTTAAAAATCACTCAAATAAGCTTAAGAAAGACTGTTTTTTAAATTAAAGAATTATTTTAATCTTTTGGGGGGGAGATTGTTTTATAGCATCAACTATGATTTAGTGCTCACTCCCATAATATTTACTCTTGTACAATTGAGAGTTTATAATTTTTTTCCACATTATTCCCAAAACTTTCCTATTTTGACTGAACCCATTACTACACTTCACTCGTTCAAGTTCCTACTTCTGTTCATGTCCTTTCTGTTGTTCCGTTCTGTCCTTTCCTCTGCCCCATACTGATGGTAGATGACATATGTGAGGCCCTCTTAGTTGCAGCTTCCATCATATCAGTCTCCTCAGCCGAGTTCCTGAGTTACCAGCATAGCATTCACTGAGACACCTGGCTGTTTTCACTGCTTTTGAATACTTTACTGTATGATCTCTTCAGTGTGCTTTACCAATTAAATACATCTCAGTGTGATAAAGATACACTCAGCATTCCTTCCAGCTGCTACCCCAACACAGGAGTAAAGGGCAGAAACAAAATGATCATTGGACTCTTTGTTTTATTTAACTTGTTTCATAGATTTTTTTCGACTACTCAAACATTAGTAAAAGTATCTCACCACTAGGAAAGGCAAGAAAAACTGCCAGTTTCAAACACTAGAAACAAGGCTCACATATGTTCTGCCAGAAAGGCAGAAGATGAACTGGACCACATGGTGGAAGCAGTGACGCTCAGTGCCATACGGTAGAACCTGAGCACACCCTGTTTAGCAGACCACCTTGTTTGTATTCTCTAAAGTCAGCGTGTCAGAAGTTTCTCTTGAAAGTCCACCAGCTCTCCTCTAGGAAGCACTGCTTCTAATATTTTTTTCTTCTCTCATTCTCCAGTAACTCCTGAGGCCTGGCGAGTGATGATGTCTCTTAAATCTGGCCTTTTGGCTGAAAGTACCTGGGCTCTAGACACTATTAATATTCTTCTGTATGATGACAGCACTGTTGCTACTTTCAACCTTTCGCAGGTAGGTGAGATGGCACTTTACCTCTCAACCTGATAAAGTCAAAAATCCGAATTGAGGGACACAGGAAAATGATTGAGTGAGTCCATTAAAATTAATTATCATTAGCTTAAATTAAAAATGTCAATTAAAAGATTCTATAACCTCAATTTTGCTGATTGAACATCAATGAACTACAAGAGGAACCCAGGTTAGTGTGGGATGGGGTAAATTATAAGCTTAAAATGAGGAGTATCCCTTGTGAAAATGGACAGTTGAGGGATAAGGAGCATTGCAGCACTGGGAGAAGTCAATGTCCATGAATACATACTCATTACTGTGACATATGGGCAATCCAGGGAAACTACAATAGGTCAGTGGTGTGGCAAAGTGGGTGTTGCAGAAAAGGGAGGCATTACAAAACTGTGCATGAAACTGATTTGAGGTATTCTTCGGGTCAGGTACACTAAAAACACGCATTGGTTGTTAGCACTGGTCATATCAGGATACTGATTTAAAAAAAATGAGGAATTAGGTTTTCACAGAAGGTGTCAGATCGATAATGCTGCTAAAACCAAAATCCACTATTTATCTACAAGCCATGTATAACACAAGATCTAATGGTGTAAGCTTCTCCTACAGTACCTTCCAGTGTTTTTCAGCCCTGTTCTAGAAGTCAAGGTAGCAGATACTATGGTGATGAGTATGGTATAAGAACCTATGCTATGTAGAATAGAGTCTATTTAGTTTCTATTAAATTTAGTTTCTATGACCCATTTAATCCTTGGCTTTTTTGCTGAGGTTCTGTGCCAGTTTGGTGGGAATTTTTAATCTAGTCTACTAGAGTTGGGTCTAAAACCTTCAATTTATTTCACACAAAACACTGTACAGCCATCAGTTAGTTATGATTTTTTTGGGTATTATTGTCTTGGGCTTGATTTGAACTGCTGATCAAGATTCCATATGATGTTTCTGCAGTTGTTAAATGTAGATTTTTTGGGGGGTGGGTTTTTTTTAAATAGTTGAGGGTTTGGAAGTCTTAAGAGAACCATGGAATATGAACGTATTTGTCCACCCTATAAAATAAAACTATTGTAGAAAAATAGAAATTGGATGTAAGATGGGACATCCAGAGAAAAGTATGTATTTTCACTGAATAGTTATTATCGGGGATCCTAGTTTTCCATGATAGAAAAAAGCAACATTCTCCAATAAAAAAAAACATAAAAATCTGTGCTTTTCCATGATTAAAGTTAAACGCCGAACTTCAGTTTCCCAAGCCACAATATATATATATATCAGTTGAACACAATGTTTTATTGATATATTTACAATTAAGTAAGTTTGAAGCTTACCAGTGCCATCAATCATTATAATAAAATAAATAGAATTTCAATTTGTATTTCTTACGTATACTAAATACTTCTGTGTTTGTATTCTATATTTTCAGAAAATAGGGGTTTTTTTTTAAATGCACAAAAACACTGGAATAATCCAGTCACAGCGCATTGTTTCTTTACTGTTGTTGATGGCCCCACTGTTTGAGCCTCTTGTTTTCCTTTCCTTTCCATTCTTGTCATAAACATTTATGTTTAGCACTTTCCATGTGTTCTACAATTCGAATGTAATCTACAGCCTTGCTGCATACAGTACAGAACAACACATTATCATCAGCATGAAATTTGTCCTTGCCAAACTCAGTGACGGTCTTTAGGGCTGATTTTTAAAGTTTTCGGCATCTTTTCATAACTTAAATTACATCTGAAGGCTGAAATGAAATTTGAGCTCCATTAAAACACGAACCCCTATACACCATTGAGTAACCTGAATACACCGGAAGCAGTTTATTGGAGCATGTTAATTTTAAGCACATTCAGAAATCAACAACAAGAGAGGGAGGTTCCGTTCATTGAATAAGTGACAGTGGTATTTCAGTAAAATTTAGTCAGTAGTTAATACATGTTTTTATTTTTTCACAAAATGTAAAAACTAAAGATTCTCTGTAAAAATGCAAATTCCATGTTTTTCCATGGCAAATGGATTTCAAGGATCCCTGATTATTATTCCATAGTTAATAAGAACAATTAATAGGCAGATGTTTGGGACTTAATGTAGTAACAGTAATTCATCTTTGACATAAAGCCACAGAGGGTGAACCAGCACCAGGAATCCAAGTGTTGCCCTCCAGTAGTGCAATAATTACACATTAATCCAGGTTTAAACACAAATGAAAACTACTTTTGAGGGTATCTTACAGCATAGAGAACTGCCTGCCGGTAACAGCTTTCAAATATGCATGGACATAATGAAAACTGTTCTGCTATATACATCTTACAGGGGGAAGAATATCAACTCCTAGAATCAGCATTGCCAGAGTCCCACATATTGGAAAGTTGGTTTAGAGACAGTAGGTCAGGTCCTTAATGTATGTAGATCATCTTAGCTCATGTGAAGTCAGAGGAGCTATGACAGTTTACACCAATTCAGGAATGGACAGAAGGGAAGAAGAATTTCCCTTAGTAAATGTTTGTCATTCAAGGCTTGGCTGTCAGTAGTTTGTAGGATGTGTGAAAACGTTCATAGAAATATGTATGCAGTGTTGTTGTAGCCAGGTTGGTCCCGGGATATTACAGAAGCAAGGTGGGTGAGATAATATCTTTTATTGGACCAACTTCTGTTGGTGAGAGAGACAAGCTTTCAAGCTTACACAGAGCTCATCTTCAGGTCTGGAAACTAACTCAGAGTGTTGCTGCTAAATACAAGCTAGAACAGATTGTTTAGCATACATAGTTAACACATATTGGAATATGCTCATTGCTACTAACAAATTCCATGCAGTCTAAAATGTTCATCTGATTTTTTGACTTGTGTTTTATTTTTTCTCTCTCCAGTTATCTGGATTTCTTGAGCTTTTGGTAGAATATTTTAGAAAATGCCTGATTGACATTTTTGGAATCCTTATGGAATATGAAGTGGGAGATCCAGGTCACAAAGCACTTGATCACAACGCAGTCAAGAAGGATGACAGCCAGTCCTTGGCAGTGGATACTGGAAAAGAGGAGGAAAATGATGAATGTATTGACTACTTTGATGAAGATGAGGAGGAGGATGAAGAGGAGGAGGAGGAAGATGAAATTGAAAAAATAGAAGGAGAAGAAAAGAGCACTGTTTTTGCCACTCCCAGTGCCATTGCTGATCCAAGTGAGAGGCCAAAACAAGCCAGTAAATTTGACAAGCTGCCAATAAAGATTGTAAAGAAAAATAATCTATTTGTTGTTGACAGATCTGACAAACTGGGGCGTGTTCAGGAATTCAACAGTGGGCTTCTCCACTGGCAGCTTGGTGGGGGTGATACTACTGAACACATCCAGACTCACTTTGAGAGCAAGATGGAGATTCCTCCACGAAGGAGGGCCCCTCCGCCCTTGAACTCTCCAAGCAAAAAGAAGGATCTGGAAGGGAAAGGTGAACCTGAAGAACAACAGGAAAAAAGTATAACAGCTACCATCGATGATGTCCTGTCAGCTCGACCAGGAGCATTGCCCGAAGATTCAAACCCTGGTTCCCAGACAGAGAGCAGTAAATTTCCCTTTGGGATCCATCAAGCCAAAAGCCACCGGAATATTAAACTGCTAGAAGATGAGCCAAGGAGCCGGGATGAGACTCCTCTATGCACCATAACTCATTGGCAAGACTCCTTGGCTAAACGCTGCATCTGTGTGTCAAATATTGTCCGTAGCTTGTCTTTTGTGCCTGGCAATGACGCCGAAATGTCCAAACATCCAGGCTTGGTGCTGATCCTGGGAAAGTTGATCCTCCTTCACCATGAGCATCCGGAAAGAAAGCGAGCACCACAGACATATGAGAAAGAGGAAGAGGAGGACAAAGGGGTGGCCTGCAGCAAGGATGAGTGGTGGTGGGACTGCCTCGAGGTCTTGAGGGATAATACATTGGTCACATTAGCCAACATTTCTGGGCAGCTAGACTTGTCTGCTTATACAGAAAGCATCTGTTTGCCAATTTTGGATGGCTTGCTGCACTGGATGGTGTGCCCATCTGCAGAGGCACAGGATCCTTTTCCAACCGTGGGGCCCAACTCAGTCCTATCGCCTCAAAGACTTGTGCTGGAGACCCTGTGTAAGCTCAGTATCCAAGACAATAATGTGGACCTTATCTTGGCCACTCCCCCATTCAGTCGTCAGGAGAAACTCTACGCTACTTTAGTTAGGTACGTTGGGGACCGCAAAAACCCAGTCTGCCGAGAAATGTCCATGGCTCTCTTATCGAACCTTGCCCAGGGGGACATGTTAGCAGCAAGGGCAATAGCTGTGCAGAAGGGAAGCATTGGAAATTTGATAAGTTTCTTGGAGGATGGGGTCACTATGGCCCAGTACCAACAGAGCCAGCATAACCTCATGCACATGCAGCCTCCACCTCTGGAGCCACCTAGCGTAGACATGATGTGCAGGGCAGCCAAGGCTTTGCTAGCCATGGCTAGAGTGGACGAGAACCGCTCAGAGTTCCTTTTGCATGAGGGTCGTTTGCTGGATATCTCAATATCTGCTGTCCTGAACTCTCTGGTTGCATCTGTCATCTGTGATGTACTTTTTCAGATTGGGCAGTTATGACATAAGTGAGAAGCCAAGCATGTGTGAGTGGAGATTAGAGGGTCACATATAACTGGCTGTTTTCTGTTCTTGTTTATCCAGCGTAGGAAGAAAGAAAAAAAAGAATCTTTGCTCCTCTGCCCCATTCACTATTTACCAATTGGGAATTAAAGAAATTATTAATTTGAACAGTTATGAAATTAATATTTGCTGTCTATGTGTATAAGTACATCTTTTTATTTTATTTTTTTTAACCAAAGTTGCTGTCTAGTACATTCAAAGGTCACACTTTTTTTCCATAGATTATCCTTTTCCATGTTCTTTTCCATGTTTGTATTACATATTTTTTGGGAAGCGAACTAGTGACTTTAAAAAAAAATTGTGGCAAACCATTGTATGATGGGGGGAAAGAAATCTCACCACTTTGAAATGAAAAGGTGAAAAAAAAAACCAACATACCAAGTTCCTGTGTGTTTTATTTTTTCAAAAAAAGGAAAAATAAAAATAACCTGTACACCATCACCCAAAGCTCTGTGCAATAGAAAATTCTAGTGATGTAGGTGTAGGGGATCAACGAGGATGTCAGTCGGTAGTCAAAATACAAAATGATATTGGTTTCTCCACAGGAGAAATGGTTACATTAGGCTAGGAGCAAAACAAAAAAATGTTTTTAAAGTTTAAAAGATTTTAAACACAAACCTGATGACGATAAACATAAATTGCTTCCTCACCAGAACTGTCTTGTCTGCATCTGTTGTTTGACCTTCCACAATGACAGTTCTTCACAATTCCTTTAATCATTTTTTTAAATATTTTTTTATTGCCTAAGGGCCGTGATGTATATAGAAGTTGTACATTAAACATGCCCTCATCTTTTTTTTTAAGTACAAAGTTTTTAGTTTCTTTTCCATGATGTGGTAACTCCAAAGTGACAGTAGAATTTTATTTTCCTTTCATTTGGGCCATATCTCCAAAAAAACCCGAGGGTAATGTACAAGTTTCTGTATGTATAAAGTCATGCTCTATTTCGGGAGAGCAGCCGATCACAATTTGCTTTATAAATCAAGGTGTGGAAATGGTTACGTATGGATTGATTTAAGAAAATGGTTACCAGTCTACAGACAAAAAAAATATACAGAAAAAAAGGAAGAAACACAACTTCAAAGATTTTTCAGTGATGAGAATCCGCATTTGTATTTCAAGATAATGTAGTTTAAAAAGGAA